AGAAGCTAACACTTCTCTCAACACTAATATCACTGTCAGGAAAATTTATTCAGCTGAACACACAAGAGGAGTGTCTCCGCCCCCACATACCTCTTTCTTCCCATCACCATCAAAGTCACACAAGGCCAAGGAGTGAACATTATCTCCAGTAACCTGAAAATAAAACCAAATGTCATGAACATGCCATCTTTTTTCACTTAGCTACATGAAAGAGAAGATTATACAAGCCACCAACACGTGTTATTCAAATTGCATATCCTTTTTTTAATGTACAGAATTATAAATATGGTTCCATTTTGTTTTTTCTTATTCATTACAGTCAATGGTAAAACACAAACAAACCAAACATAAAGAACATTAAAAGTAAAAATACTTAAGAGTACTAAAGAGAAAGTTTTATTCTTCATACCGTCCAAAAGAGATCATTTCCTTCATGATCAAAACCCTGCAAAGCACAATTTCCACCAATAATTGCAAGAGGAGAGGAAATGTCTCCCAGTGTCCCCAACACAATTGCATTGGCCCCATCTGCTACCTAAAAAGAAAAAAAGATAGTATCTCAGATAACGGTGTACAGGTACACTGAAGGTAACATAGCCTTATCTTCATTTGAATACTCCAATTCCTCTGTCATCATCTGTGAGAAGCCACATGGTTTCCTGAGAGACAGTCCAGGACTGTCCACTGAGGACTGGCACTGTGGCGTATGTGTGCCAACGCACGGATGAGCACCGATCCTGCATACACTCAGGCCCTGGGCCTGACGCTGATCTGCTACAATAAGCTACTACAAAATCCTCGGCTCTCTACAGCCACCAGGTTTAGAGGCCAAATTGTTAGAGAATCAAGACTTATGCCTTTAAAACACCCAAACTTTTATAATCTATTTTAACCACATTTTAGATGAAAATCATTTTAATACTTATTCCTAGTTCTCTTACTACTATTCTTTTCCATTGTAAAGTTACTAAAAAATGCACAGGATGATAAACACCTATAGTCCTACCATCCAGAATTAATAAATATCCCAGACTTCTTGAATAAAGTACAAAAGCATAATTTATTTTTGGAAGATTCAAGGACATCTTTGTAAATACTAATT